TCAGGAGATGAAAGAAAATGTTTTTCTCCCTGAGCCTGGCCTTCATAATTCCATTCCATCAAACTGAGAGAGGGGAGGTTTCAATGGTGTGAAGGTGTGGGCCTCAAGTCTTAAGTATTTGAGGTCCATTCCTTCACATTGCTGGGAGGTTTCCCATCCCCTTTCAGTGGTGTGAAGGCATGGACTTCAAATCTTCAGGTGCTCCATTCACCGCTGAGAGAAGAGAAGGGAAAGAGGATAGAGTGCAAGAAAGAGGATGGAATGAAAGAGTTAGGGCTTAATGACATGGGAGATTCCTTATCAACTGCAACTGGGAGTGCCCAGATTGCTGTTGTTGAGCAAAGCAGTCACATGGGCTTCTTGCTTAATGACTGCTTCACTGAACCACCAAGATACCGGTCCCAGTTGTGGTTGTTAGGCAAGGACTACCTGTAGAATAGTGTCTATATGCTATAGCAGTTTGAGCATCTTTTTTTCTCAAGTTAAATAGTTAACTTTATGATCCCTTGATTTTAACAAGAAACCTAGCAACTTATTTATTTATTGGATTTATAGGCCTCCAAATCATACAGACTCATAGCAGCTTATTAGATCCAATTAAAACCACCACAGTGATTAAATCATCCACAGTAATAACTAATTCCAAAATTAAAACATTATTTCTATTATCAGTTAAAACATCTGTGGTAAAGACATGGTTAAAACATCAATAGTAATGACTATACCAAAAATTAAAACATTCACATTTACGCCTACTGTCATAAACTTAAAGACAGCTGAATCAGCACAAACCCAAATACGTGTTCCTTATAAAAAATAGATTTTCTTTAGTTAAGAAATTGGCTTGAAATTCAGGGAGCTTTATTTAAAGTTTGCTTTAGTGTAGTGATTAAGGCACCAGGCTAGAAACTGGGAAACTGTGAGTTCTAGGCCTGCCTTGGGTATGAAGCCAACTGGGTGGCCTTGGGCCAGTCATTCTCTCTCAGCCCTAGGATGGAGGCAATGGCAAACCACTTCCAAAAAACCTTGCTAAAAAAACTGCAGGGACTTGGCCAGGCAGTCTCCAGGAGTCAACCTTGACTCCAAGGCATGCACATGTTGCAGCAAAGAATATTCTGATTAAAAAAAAAAAACCTAATTAAAGAAAATAGGGAGCAGAGAAAGTTTTCACATCCTACGTACAGCATAACAGCATGGTATCTTCTAACTCACAAGCACTGAGACCCACAAAACTGTCTGAGAAAGTCTCTTCCCATGTAGCCTCACCACAAGGGCTAAATAAGGTACTGTACATATGTCATAATATGCATTTCTAGGCAGCTATTTCTGTCTTATTATAAATGTATATGGTTTCTCCCATACTTGCAAATACTTCCAGGGATCATTTCATGGATTCCTTTGGAAATGGCTAACACATTCAGAAATATCTGGTGTGGGAAATAGCCACATCAGTAATGGCTTCCATGTGATCGTTGATATTGCTTATTCTAATAGATATGGGCCTAACAAGGATGGATCACGGGGACTGGAAACTGGTTGCTGTCTTAAATAGTAATAGAATAATGATCAGTTAGCTGAATATTATCTGCATTGTCTAATCTGAATAGTTTGGACTTTGTCCTCTGTCTATACCTTATGGTCTCTTCTCTATCCATAAATTTGCCACCTATTTCAGGAGCAACAGAGGTCACTGTCCTGTTGCCAGTATTAAAATAACATTTAACTGCCAGTCCCCTTTGCCTCTATTCATTAAATGGGATAGGAGGTCCCCATCCCTTCCTTTATTTCAAATATCAAGATGTCTTGAGACGTTCAAAGGGATCTGCCATACAAACTAAGACTGCATCAAGGGCAATTTGTGGACTTGTGAAGTTTTTTCTACTGCCAGAAAAAATAATTGCTAAATGATTTCTACTGTGGCTTCAGGGTTTCCAGATGACTTATTTTCTGTAATTTTTTACTTCCAAGGAGCCAGCATCCCAGAATTTAGAAGGTATATATCTGCCCATAGCTCTACTGAACAAAGAATCTAACTTTAATGACATACTTGCTTCAGAGACATATGTCAAGGAAGACACCTCAGCATGAATGGGAATTGATAATGGAGGAGTTGGGAGTCCTGAAAAGATCTGAAGACTCTTTCATCTGACCCACTTCCACTTTGACGTGAAATGCTATTCAGGCTTTATAGCTGTGGAGCTCTCAACAAGCACTGGGTCTGCATAACTCTTGTATTTTGGCTGATATTGTTGCAACTATCAAGCTCCCAACTCACATGGAAGCCAAACACAAGTGTCAGTGGACATATCACTGCAGCAAATTCTGTAATAAATAGAATTGTAAGTTCTTGTCTATTGTTCTGAGTGAAATGATCTTAAAAAGCCAAATCGAGTTTCATTTGGAAATCCTATTAAGATCGTATGAACTTTGAATCCAGACTAAGAAGCCACATTTCAGTCCAGTAATGGGCAACCTAAGGAGTCTACCTGCATTCTCCCAATCCCCTTTTTATAGTCCCAGACCCTTTTCAGATTATCATTGCTGAAAGGGGTAAGACATGCAAGACAACTGTTCTGTAATTTCTAAGATAAATAAGGCCTTTCCCTGTTTGCCTAACTGTAGCACAAAGGAGGCCTGGAACATTTTTTGTGACTTGTCATCATGATGTTGCCTTGACCTTGTCACTCACTCTGTGAGTGAGATAGCTTTAGTTATACAGGTAGTATTCCTCCCTCCTTCCTACCACTTATAGGCTTCTCCAATGGGACACTGAGCAGCTTATCTTCTTTTACAATAAAAGGGTTAACATAATAAAAAGGTATAATAGCTGTAATATAATAAAACTATCAATTTGACCCTTAGACATTTTTCCTCTCAAACTATGTTTCGGGAAAGTCTTTGCAGGTATAAATTGACAATGGGATACCTGAAGAAGCTCCCTAGTATTTTACTCTGGCGCTCTTTTAGTTGGATTCTAGCATAAGTATGGGGAACTATAATTTTTAGATGTTGCTGAAAGACAGTCCTCTGTATCCTAAAACATGGGACATGGTGACTTAGATTTCTCAGGATTGTACTTCAGAACTTTCAGAATCTGCTGCTTCCTTCTTCATGCTTCTTTTCCCTGCAGATGAATCTTTAGTAAAAATATTTCCCCTTCTCAATTTATTTTACTCAACAAATATAAGGAATAACATTTGGCTCGCTTAGATATTCCTATAGGCCAATTATGATAAATGGTGCTTTCAGATATGGAGTATCATTTTTGTCAAACGTCACTCTCTAGAACAATATAGGAAGCTCTTATAACATGTTACAATATTTTATTTTGTGCTAATAACCATAACACGTTATTAGCACAAAATCATAAAAACTTTAGTTAATTTAAAATGCAAAGTCAGTCCTCATGGTTTGGTTTAACACTTCTTAAATATTTAATAATGCAGCTTTTTTTTTCATTGTGGGTTATCCAAACGCTTTTCTGATATTGAGGACTTTTCGCTGAATATGGTTAAAAATGACCTGGCTGATTCTTGCTTTTGTTAATTAAAAAGGATTGAATACGGGGAGCGGGGAAGCATGTATGAAATTTTAAAGGGGGAGGATAGAAAATAAACTTGCTTATAACTGCTGTAAAGAAGATTGGAAGTCACTTCTTTTTTTCTAATGTTCTTTTCTTTTTTCTTTTCTGCACTTTTTCTTTCATCTCTTTTCTTTTTTCTTAACTTTCTTTCTTTCTTTTTTTTAGTAGCACAACATTTTATTTGGTCCAACAGATGTATTAAGATGCTGCATATTATATTCATGTTGAAGAACTTTTGTTCACATGTAGGTGCTCAAACAAAGACAACAAAACTCTGTTAAAACAACTAGAAATCTCTCTTGCTCTAAGCAAGGCTGCAGAATAACAAAAAGTTAGAAACATGAGAAGCTGCCTTTACTGAGCTGGCCCATCTATCCTAGGGTTGGTTCTGCAGGGTTTCAGAAACTGTTCTTCCTGCCTTTCCTGAAGATCTGGGATCTTCTGCCCATGAAGATTCTGCCACTGAGTTACAAACCCTAGACCGAAATTGTCCCAAGTCTCCTGATTTATATTTTTTCATGTTTCTTTAATTCATGTAAAACAACTCTAGTTTGGTTTCTGTCTATTCTACGGTCTGCAGAAGTGAATATCACAGGAAATGACCAGAGTTCAATAAACCTGTGCTTCTCCTTACTGTCTCACAAATAATATGAAGAGAGAACATTTTCGTCACTATTTAAAACAGAAATGAAAAAGTACAGGCCACACGTTGTGAAGGGAGGAACTGGAAAACAAACTATTTAAGGTTTTAACTGGATATTCTACCCTACATGAGGCTTCAAAGGAGATTCTTCCATTGCTTCTTTCCTAGGACGTTGATACTAAGCTTCTCTGTCCTTTCCCTGTTTCAGGTTTCAAATACACACACACAGGGGGTTGCTAGGTGATAAGCAATTTACTCAAGGCTAAGCAGACAAGCAAAGTAACATAAATTAGAGTCTCTGATGATAAGGCTTGCCTGAGTAGTTTCACTTTCTACAGAACATGCAGATAAGTAGTCAATATTTAGTTCAGAGTTTAAAGAGCCAAGACAGGTTTGTCAGCCAGTCCAAGGGTCAGAGTTTCAGTTTTTTTACACAAGCAGAAGACACAGGAATGATATGCCAGAACAACAAATCAGATGGTTGTTTCCAACAGAGAAACATGGATCAGAAAACCTTAAACAGAAAACCTACAACCAACTTTCTTTAATAAGGGCAGCCATGCCTTTGCTTGGCAGAGGGCTCCATTAAGAGTTTTTGCTCTTGTCTCTGCTCTATTTGCTGACTCCAAGGACTTCATCATTTGACTGTTCCAGTAGTTCTGAAGGTGAAACCTTATGAAAAAGGGCTCTTAGTTTCCATCATATTTACTTCTTTCCATTTGAAAACCAAAGGGATAACACAGACACGGACATTGAGACATCTTAACACATTTCTCTCATTTGGACATCCTGTCTCCATAAGGGTCGAGGCCATTAAAGGGGGGAGGGGTTGCCCTGAACTCTGACAAGTATCCACTAGTATCCAATAGGTCATCAGGAAGATAAATTTCCCCCAGTCATAA